GGGGGGGACAGGAGAATGGGGCTCTGCTTTCCCAACGTTCATGCCCCAAGCCTCTCCGCCGCCCCTAGGGTGCACTTTACCTGGTGGATGTGCCGGGAATGGGGCGCCCCGTGTCCACCAGGACGCACCAGCAGTACCCCGTGGAGGGGTGGCACTGCACCGGCTTGTAGAGCCCGCCGTGAGCGCACTCCGGGATCACCACGTTGTCGTTCTTGGGCTGCTTGGCTTCCTCGAGGGCGGACTGGTGCTCCTGGTCACAGGACGACACTGGGGCGAGGAAGGAGACAAAAGCCAGGTGAGCAGGGCCGAGGGGGCGTCTCGTGCACGGGGCTCACGGAGAGGTGTGACCGGGGGCACGGAGGACTGGGCGGAGAAGGGCGTGGCCACCCTGGGGCGCAGAGAGCCGGGAGCATGCGGGGCTCCCGGTCCCGGAGGGTCCAAGGGGCTCCCGCAATCACTGACCCACACCCGGTGTCCGTGGAAAGGGTGGACACTCTTTCCTGAGCACACAGGGAGCTCCCGGTGAGCACGGCGGTCACCTTGGACAGGTGATCCAGGCGGACTGGGTGCCCCAGGTCGGAACCGGACCCGGGGCTGGAAGCCGTCTTCTCTGGGCTCCAGAGCCGTGTGTCAAGCAGGCACGAGCCGAGCGTCCCAGGGCGGGGCTCGTCCAGTCTCAGGAGAGCCCTGGTGCCCCTCAGCTCACACGTCAGCACCCACCGCCAGGTCCGCCTGCCAGCGTGAGTGGCGAAAATCCACGCGCCCGCCTGGCTGCATCTGAGCAGAGCAGGTTCTCAATGTGTCCGAGCTGATCAGCCCAAAACGGTGGAAATTTCCACTGTGGTGTTTCTGGAACAAGCTTCGCCACCGGGAATTAGTAAAGAGGAATAGTATTCTATTAATACTATCATTACGGGTATTCTTACTCAGATCTGTGAGCCAGGCATTGTGCTCCATGAGTACTGAAACTCATTCACATAAAAATAAAACAATGACTTTTAAAAATTTCCGTATCATGCGTTGCAATGCATAAAGGTTTGGCTTGTTTTATGTCAATAAACTGGGTTTCTCCTTACTGTTTAGACATGTCTGCTTATATCCATCTTCTGCCCCAAACGGCTAAGCCAAGCACTTCAGCATGTGCGTGTGCTGACAGACACACGTGGACGTGCACGCACGCCTGACCGGCTGCAGCGTCCAGGCGGAATGGCCGTGGGGACAGCCCCTCCGTGAGGCCGGGAGTGCACACGCGTGCCAGGAACGGCAGGGCCGGGCACTCAGGATCTCTCTCCCGAGTGGGAAGTGACTTTCGGAAAGTTGTGCTCTAAGGCTGCTTTGAAACTGGTCTGCGACAGCCATGGGGTCTCAGCACCGTGAAGGTGACGCCACGCAGGCGGGACACGTGAGGGCGCCTAGTGTGCCTCTGTTCAAGACCACCCGGCCGGAGCCAGTCGCGTGCCGGCGTGGCGTGGAGGCACAGGGGACCGTCCCGGGGACTAACGACATCGTCCGTGTCCTGGCGCAGCAACCGTGCTCTGCACACGCCAGCTGTCGCCGTCACTGTTTCTCCGATGCCGAAAGAATACCTGGCCTATGATGGGCTCTCAGTGAATTTCTTTTGAGATAAATCATGGCAATAATATCAACTGTTAGAAAACCACCTGCATTTCAGCTTCTCCAGTCATTCTATTTACAAAGCAAGGATAATCACATGCGTAATTTTACGATGAGTTCATTACCGACTCTATTACCAAATGCTGCTGCTAGAGTTTTAAAAAGTATATGACTTTGTGTATTTACTGGAGAAACATGAAAATAAACGTTGCTGTTCGGATTCTTCCCTATTTCCCGTTCCCATATGACTAACAATTATTCTCCCCCTCTGCCCGCCGGGGCGCTCAGCCCGTCGCAATAGCGGCTGGTGACGACTAAAGCTGTCGCTGCCTCCGTCCAGACGGACATTTGCAGGATAACCTCAGACAGACGCCAAGGGTCACTCAAATGTCACAGCAGGTGCTCAAAATGGGTTTAATGAATAAGAGAGAAGAAGAAACTTGTCATCAACTGACATTTCATATGAATCATGCCTTTAATTTCTGCACTTCCTTTCATATACTCTGGATTTTTGCTGAGCAAATGCACGACACATAAATAAAACCCGCCCCTGAGTTAGCACGGTTATCTTAAAGAGGATTTTGCCCCAACTATAACTAGGAAATTGGTATGAAATTAAAATGGCGGTGGTTCATATTCCTTTCCTAATTGTTCAATAATTTACTTTAGATCAAGTGAATAGACTAAAATGGTGTTGAGCTAAATGCTGTTTGGGGTTGTTGCTTTGTGGAAATCCTCAAAGCTATTGGGGGGTCACTAAGGGAGCCCCCCGGGCAGCGCCAGCCCCCGCTGGTGGCGGCTGCCTTTCCCACAGGCGCCCTGAAAAACCCGTCGCTCACTGACACGGTCACCGGGCGCTTGTTCAGAAATGTTCTTAGTGCACAGAATTTATGGTGTGATCATCTGGCCACAAAACATTTTTCATGCTCTATGAAAGGACACACTGTATCTATAGAAATAGTTGTGGAAAATTCTTGCAGTATAACTCTTGAGGGTTTCATGCCATATTGGAAGGCTTATCATGAAATCATATTGAATAAACCAAAAACCTCTTAAAATTTGCTGAGCATGTTATAAAATATCGAAGCTATCACAGCAGAGTCAGACGACATCCGTGTCTGTTTGCACGAGCGCTGGGGCGGTGAGGGCCGCTCACTCACGCGAGTCCATCTGATGATCCTGGCTCTACGTGAGGAACTCAGCTTCCTGGAGAAATTCAAATTAGGTTTTCTTCTAGCAAGCCGCGATGAAGGTGAGGGTCCCGCGACAGGCTGCAGAGACACAGCTGGCGCACAGGGAGGGCGCCCGCTCGCGAAGCACCCCGTGAGTTATGCGCTTTAACAACCATTTTTCAAAGAAAAGCACCTTTGCAAAGTTGGTGGAATGTCCATTAAAAAAATACTAGTTTATTTTCTGAACTAGTATTAGATGTTTGTGACTTACAATGTGTCTGACAGTTTGTCCAAATAATATAACCAAAGGGAATTTAGATTATAACAAGCAGCTGCCAGACATTTATGAACTTAAAAAATATTAAATGCTTCTCGTGTTAACCACAGGCTACCTGTGGTTTCGGGAAGATGATGCCCGAAGCATTTTGAGGGAAGCAATGACAGATCACATCCACGCTCAAGAGAAATATCTCCGGATCTGTCCACGTTTCAATAAATTCTGTGCTGCGTGTGTGAGGTTTTCGGGCCAGCACATCTCCTCGAGAGCTTTGCGTTAACATTTAGGGAGTTGTTCGCCCTCCAACAGACAGGATCCTGAGACGCTTCTGAACCACAGATGTAGCCGAAGCTGCCCCCACGGCGACTGCCCCCGCGCCAGTGCCGTGGAGATGGAATGCCCAGACGCCGGTGGCCTTGCGGGGCCCAGCGCCACTTCCTCCTGCCGCCAGGTGTTCTGCGTCTGCTCGGTTACCTGCGCCCTTCAAGGACGCCTCTCCCGGCCCCAGACTCCCCACCATGGGCCTGTCCTGCTGTTTGCTGTTGGGGAGGTCGCCAGGCTGCTGGCCGGATGCTACGGTGTGAGCTGCTAAGGGACTCTGCGTCTCGTCTCTCCACGTTCGTCTCCTCTTGGCACGATAGACTTCCCCAGACACACCTTGCTTGCAAAGAATTCAGGAAACTGTCGCTCAGGAGCAGCCAGCACCTCGAGTTGTTCAGGAGCTACCGCCAGAGTGGACAGGGTGCCGCACGCCGCCCCAGCAGCTCCTAACTATCAAGTAAATGGACACCAAGTGTAATGTCCGTTATGTTTATATTGATTCATATCCACCTTACGCTGGCGGATTCTAATTTCTGTCTATCCCCATCTTCTGGTCCATTTCTTGTTGAGCATGAAGAGGCAATTAAGCAAATCTAATTTTTAAAGTCAAAGAGTTTTTATTTAAGTCTGAGGTCATCTTTCCGAAAATATGGCAGGCGCGCAGCTGAAACGGGGAAGAAGCAGGGTGAGGACAGAGCGACGTCTCAGCTCAGCCCCGGCCCGGCCAGACAGACTCCTATGGCCTGAGCGTCTGTGCCGGCACGGCCCCGGGAATGAGCTCCCCACCCTGACGAAAGGGATCGGGCTTCGCTCTGTCCACCCCGTGAGGACACCGTTTACGAACCCGAAATGGACCCTCACCAGACATCAACCTGCCAGTTTCCTGATCTTGGACTTCCAGTCTCTAGAGCTGTGAGAAGTAAATTTCTGTGGTTTACAAGCCTCCCGGTCTAAGGTATTTTGTTAAGACAACGTCAAACCTGTCTAACTGCTTCATAAGCTGGTTGGGAGCTGCTGATAGAATGACACACGAGTGTTTGCAAAGGGGATAACGTGTCCTGCAAAACCGAAGGGACTAGTTCAGACACCACAGATAACACCGAATAGCTCTTTTAGACACTGCAATAGCATCATGCCCTCGATGCAGATGTTTCCGGCTACAGTAAAATTATCTATCTTTTGAAAAAAGAAGATTAGTTGTATATTTTTAGTAAGGTGAACTATTTCATTAATTAAGTGTCAAAACTCTCAGAAAACAAGAAATAGAGGATAACCTTCTTTATGTGACAAAGAGTATATATATTTTTTTTAAAAAAAATCCTAAGATCATAGTTAATGACAAAAGCTTGAACGCTTTCACTTTGAAATTGGAAATATACTACTTACATTTATAATTATTCTGAAGGTCCCACAAAGACAGCCAAGGTAAGAACGGGAAATCCATAAGGATTGGAAGGAAAGATTCAGATCGTCTTTAATCACACAAGACAGGCTGTGCATGTTAAAAAAAAATTCTAAAGCATTTACAAAGAAAAACTGCTAGAATTAATAGTGAGCATGGCAAAGTCCCATGATACAAAATCAATATGCAAAAGTTACCTCTATTTGTATCTACTGCCAATGAATAATTTGAATATAAAAAAAATTAAATGTCATTTGCTATAACATCAAAAACAAAAAGTACTTAGAAATACATTTATGACAATATGTGTAAGACATTAAAAACTAAAGAGCATTACTGAAATAATTAAAGAAAACCTCAATAGATGGAGAGATATACCATGTTAATAAATGAGTAACATTACAATGTTAATTCCCCTCCAAACTGATTTGTGGATCCAATATAATTCCTGTCAAAATTCTAGAAAGCTCCTTAGTGGACA